TCTGGATGCTGACAGGTGACAGCAAGTAGTTTCACTAAAATTTGTGTATATGTACAGTACTAATCTTGTGATGCTATCTTGGACATGGGAGGAAAACACACGAAGAACAGTACAAGAGAACACTCGTGACAGACTCTTAAGACACATGATTCTCTTTAGATCAAGCCAACAGAACAGCAAACATGAGAAGTAATAGCCATAGATCACATGCAAATGCACTAAACCAAAATGTTATCCTAGACACACGCAACAAAACAAGTACTCATACTACAGAAGTATAATAAATTCTACATCAGTATCATCAGACTTCGTTGCAAACACAACCATGGATCAGTAATTTTTCAAAACAGCTATGGGTCAGAAATTAAATTACAGGATTTTTCCATTCACACAGCAACTGAAATACCTAAGCACACGCAATCCGCAAGAAATATAAAACACAAATGCCAATGAAATTGTCAAATTGAATTAATGATCCTAGTAGGCAAGTCTAGCTTCAAATAATCATGGCACATTGGAGATTTGGGGATCAGCGCCGGTAACCCAAAAATCCCCAAACCCTAACCCGTTCCCCAATGCGGTCGTTTTATTAGTATGCGCCCGTTAATGAAACCCTAACCCTCCCTTCTTCCCGTTCGTACAGATCCATGGTTGCCATCGAGTTTGCCCTTAGTAGCAGCATTGCAGCAACGAGAAGGGAAGGGAGTGGAGAGAAAATTACCTCCGGCGCGGCGGTGGATGCGTGGATTCGAACTGCGAATGGAGGGGCATCCAGGCTCTAGGAGTGGCGGTGGCCGGTGGAGACGATGGCGGCGGCGGCGCGGCGGCGCCGGCGATGAACGGGACGACGAGGCGGAGAGAATTCGTATTGGTAAAACCCACGCAGGGGCTATTTTGTAAAAATGCACCAAACCCACTGGAAGCCGGTCGCCGATCTGAGCCACGCAGTTTTGATCGGACGGTGTACGACGACCCGAGGATTGGATCGCTACCAATTTTATTTTAGCGGTCCAAATAGGGGGGTTCATTTAAACAGTAATATATTTAAAGGGTGTTTCTGCATAAGTTGCTCGTACCGCTTCGAGTATTATTTAATCCACGCCGTGCATGCACGATCCAAGAATTTTTCAAATCGGCCCCTATGAAGTGTAATGTTGCAAGTTCAATTCATACATTGGTCCCTACTTTGGATCAAAATATTCCACATTAGTCCCTACGTCAGATCGGCTTCTAATTAGAAGCCCCTTTTCACAACCACAAGAGCAAGGAAACAGTTTGCACTAATGACTTAATGAGCACTTCATATATTGCAGAATATAAGTAGGGGAGTCGAAACTATTAGTACAAAGGTAATATATATAAGCATGCAATGCATGCATGTTACTGACAATTAAGCAAAAGCCACTCAAAATATTCCTCTAATTTCTTATCTGAACCTCTACTAGTACTACTACCTAGTAGTAACTAATTAGAGCAGTAATTCGCAGCAACATGACATAATTAATTAGCATAAATATTTTCCCAAAGGAAAATCTACTCGAAGGCCCATGTGTTCTCCTTGCGGATTTCCTCCTCCTCCTCCGGCGTGAAGTCGTTCTTGATCCCAAACTCCTTCCTGATCTGCTCCGGCGACTTGCCTTTGATCAGGTTCGCCGTGTGCTGGCAGCACAAATCCAGCAAGCTCTTGATGTTCATGAAATTGGACGCCAGGAGCAGGTCGTACAGCATGTTCTTGTCCACATCGATGAACTCGGCGTCGAAGCTCTTCAGATCCTTCTCCTCCTCCTCCCCGGCGGCGGCGTGCTTGATGCAGTATTCGATGACCTTGGCGAGGACCTTGGAGGCGACGTTGGGGAGAGGCACCCCGTTCGTCGTGCAGTCGTCCTCGATCATGTTGGAGACGAGCTGTGACAGGCTCGCCGCCGCCGACGGCACGTTGAAGTGCTCGCCGTCGGAGCTGATTAGGAGGATTGTGTCGCTGCCGCTGCCGGCGGCGGCGTCGGCAACCTCCTTCTTCTCTGCCGCCATTGATCTCTCTACTTTGAAGTTTGAACACGGACGAAAGAACTCGCGGATTGCAAAGCTCAACTGTTTCTTGTCTTGTCTTGTCTTGGACCCCAAGACTCTTGGAACGTTAGCGTTTGGTGCTTGGATCACGGCGAGAGGTGGTCTGTTTTTATTGCGTGAAACCGCGCAAAAACAAGACGGATGCGGTGATCCGGAGTCCGAATCTGATCCAAATTCAATTGATTTTCAGTTATTTCCGCGTTAGTTTTGAGTACGTACAAACGTACGTACGTCGTGAAGAGATTTAACTGGACTCATTTTCGAAACCTTCTCCCATGGTCTAATTGGACTCCTTTTCGAAACGACTACTCTAATTATTTCTCGATATTAAATTACATTATTACAGAAGTAAAATGAGATTAAAATACGACTCCTACTCGGAGTTTAATTATCTCCCGCTGGTTTAAGCAATAAATACAACCACACGAGGTTCTACCAGGGGCAGCCCAGCTATAATTAAAGGGCATTCAGATGTATACCCAAGATTTTTGGACAAAAAATAGGTATATATACTATATAGTTCATATATATATATATGAAAAAGATCAGAATAATTGGGGTTGCCCAAAAAGTCATTAGTAGTACTCAAACTGCTTTTATTACTGGGAGAAATATCATGAAAAGAGTTGTTATTTTACATGAAACTATTCATGAATTGCATCGCAAAAACAAGAATGGGGTAATTATTAAGATTGACTTTGAGAAAACTTATGATAAGGTAAAGTAGTCTTTTGTTCAACAAACCTTAAGGATGAAGGGTTTCTGGTCAAAATGGTGTCAATGGATTGCCTCTTTTATCTAGGGGGGACATGTGGGTATAAAAGTAAACGATCAAGTTGGTTCTAATTTTCAAACTTATAAGGGTCTTAGACAAGGAGATCCATTATCTCCAATTCTTTTTAATATAGTTGTTAATATGCTTACTATATTAATTAAGAGGGCCAAGGATGATGGTCAAATTAGTGGGATTATTCCACACTTGGTGGATGATGGTCTTTCTATTTTGCAATATGCAGATGATACTCTTATTTTTTTGAACATGATCTACTACAAGCCAAAAATCTAAAATTGTTACTATCGACTTTTGAAAAATTATCTGGCCTTAAAATTAATTTTCATAAAAGTGAATTATTTTGTTTTGGTCAGGCAAAGGAATGTCAAGAGCTTTATTCTACTATTTTTGGTTGTAAGCTTGGGAATTTCCCTATGAGATATCTTGGTATTCCTATGCATTTTAGAAAACTTAGTAACAAGGATTGGAAAACAGTTGAGGAAAGAATTGAAAAGAAACTTAGTAGTTGGAAAGGTAAACATATGGGGAGGGGGGGAGGTTGGTGTTGATTAATTTTGTGCTTTCTAGATTAGCCATGTTTATGATTTCTTTTTTTGAGATTCCAAAAGGAGGTCTTCAAAAAAATTGATTATTATAGATCACTTTCTTTTGACAAGGGGATGAACACAAGAAGAAGTATAGGCTTACTAAATGGGATATGATTTGTCAACCCAAAGATTAGGGTGGTCTTGGAGTTCATAATCTTGAAATTCAAAATCAATATCTTTTGAGTAAATGGTTGTTTAGGCTCATAAACGAGCAGGGTGTGTGGCAGGATCTATTGAAAATGAAATATCTTTATAATCAATCCTAAAGTCAGGTTGAGAAGAAACAAGGGGATTCCCATTTTTGGTCTGGTCTTATGAAAGTTAAGAGTAAGTTTCTAAATATGGGTTCCTGGATTGTGAATAATGGTGTACAAGTCAAATTTTGGGAAGATAAATGGGTAGGGAATTATTCTTTTAAAGATAGGTATCCGTCGTTATATGCTATAGTTCGTAGGAGGAATGCTTCAATTGCAAATGTTATGTCTCTTGTTTCACTTAATATTTCTTTTAGGAGAGCTTTTAGTAGGACAGAATTTAAACAATTGGCATAATTTATGTGCTTCAATTGTTCATATTCATTTGTCAGAGGAGAATGATATTTTTAGATGGAATTTCCATCAAAATGGTGTATTCTCGGTTTGGTCTATGTATTTAGCTTTAATTAATAATGGCAACATTGAGAGGAATAAGATTATATGGAGACTTAAGATGCCTCTCAAGATTAAGATTTTTATGTGGTACCTACTTAAAGGGGTTGTTCTAACAAAGGATAACTTATCTAGGAGAAATTGGCATGGTAGTTTGAAATGTTGTTTTTGCATGAGAAATGAGACTATTCAATATTTGTTTGTAGAGTGTCATTATGCAAAATTTCTTTGGAGAGCTCTACAGTTTAATGTTGGTTTATATACTCCTCATAGTATATCTTATATTTTTGAGAATTGGCTCGTGGGAGTTATAAAAAATCTACCAAACTTATTCTTGTTAGAGCATCCGCTATATGTTGGGCTATATGGTTGTGTAGAAATGATATGGTTTTTGATAAATCACCATCTATATCCTATATGCAGGTTCTTTTCAGGACAACATATTGGCTCCGATCCTGGGCTCAGCTACAAAAGTGTGATGAAGAAATCAAGTCAATGAAAGCTGCATGTCGTAATCTTGAGTCATTGGTTATGCAGCTGTTCGCCAACTTTGGATGGAGATTCACAAATAGAATTCAATAATTTTTGTGATCGTTTATGCTGTGTGTGTTTTATTAGTTCGTCTATGCTTTTGTTTATTCAGGTGTGAGTTTTTGTTGAGTTGATATAATAATTGGCTGTAGCTATTTGAGTAAAGGCCGGGATTATATTCCATTATCTAAAAAAATGTATGAAAAAGATAAAGAAAAAGAGTTAAACTACTTATTTGGGCCTTGTTTTACCATTTCTGTTGTATTGGGCCTAAATTTTACACTCCCCTCCCCCTTTCCACTCGGCCCGCGGTCTATTTGGGCTGGAACTGAGCCCATTTCCAAACAAAAATCCCCTCCTCCCAAAAATCCCCAATTCCCTAAGACCTTAACCCTAATTTTGCTTGGAGACAGCCACAGCCGGCGGCGTGTGTTGCGGCGCGAGTGGTGGCGTGCGTTGCGGCGCGGGCGGCGGGCGCGGCGTGCGGCGGCGGCGGCGCGGCGAGCCGAAGACCACGCCAGCACGGGGGCAGCACGGCAGGGGCGGCCGCCGGCTGGGCGCACCGGCGGAGGCGGGAGCCGCGGCGCAGTGCCGGCAGCGGCCGTCGGCCGAGTGGGCACGATTTCCGGCAAGACACCGGAACAGATGAGGGAGACGCTTTCGATTAAGAACGAATTCACGCCGGAGGAGGAGGCGGTGATGAGCTCTTTTCCTATCCTTGAAAAGATACTATGAGATACCAATCAAATCTAGCCATTGATTTGGCAGGGGCACGATAGGATAAAAAAGGAGGTATTCGCTGATTGGGCCTCTGGGTCGGCTACGCTCAAGCAGCGAGCCGTCGTCGCAATCCCTTCCCGTCAAGTCAGAGCGCGAGTCTCGGGGCGGAGCGTTTCGTCCTCCGCCGCAGCAGTTCCGCCGCCGTAGCCCCTAATCATCCGTCGTTGCCGCCATTTAGTTCCGCCGCCGGCGCCAATGCCGGCTGGGAGTTTTTAGTTCGCCCACCGCCCACCGCCGCCGGCCATCCCGGACAGAGCAGCGCAATCCCCTACTGTGTTCTCCTTCTGTCAGTTCCGTCGCCATCGCCGGTTGATCCAATCGTTTCGTCGCCACGCCATCGCCTGTGTTGCTGTATGTATAGATTAGCTGGCAAGATTATTTGTATTGGAGCAGAAGTACTTGCATGTTATGTTTTTTTCACTTGAGCTAAACTGTACGAGTAGCTATTAATCAGTTCTGTTTAAGTGCAAAATATCCATGCAGTGTGCCTGGATTTGAAGATGTTTGTTAGTTTGAAATATGCATGTACCACACGCCTGGAGTTGAAGTTGTGTGTAACTGGGTGCCGAATTACACAACAGAATTACACGGAAGAACCAATGCCGAAAGAACTTCATAGCCGCCAGAACCGAAGCAGCCAGAACATCAATTTTCAAAGCAAACTGAATAGCATCCATTTAGGATTAAACAGATGTGTAGATAGTTCATCCACTAACTTAATTACATCATAGGAAGGCAGTACATATTGCTTGATAAAATAGTGATGTTCATCCATCACAGTACATAAGTGCAGGAACATTAAGACTAAGCACATCGTCATATAGTCTTCACGATTACATCATATATACTAACTTAGGAGTGGCGGTACACAGTGCCAGGCAAAATGGTGATGTTCATCCATCACACTAACTAAGAACATGTACTTCAAGAGTAAGCTCATCATCAGAGTCATTGAAACGGAAAACACATACATCACCCATCTTGACAGCTTCGGCATCAACCAATTGATTCCAGCCGGTGGCCAAACTCTCCAGGATCTGGCGGTGTAGCGGTGTGGCCCTACGATCTGGCGGTTCCTCTCCGTTTTCCAGGCCACGACTCCCGCAGCAGCTGAATCTAACCGCTGTTGCGCTGTTGACAGCACCAGCCCCACCCTACTTGCGGCAGAATTGCCTCAATTGCTTGAAGGGGAGCACGACCAGATTGGGGGGGGGGGGGGGGGGTCTAGGGATCTGCCATCCCCCATCATCTGCACTCCTCCCTCTGCGTGCGCCCACAACGAAATTGGAGAGAAAGATGAGAGAAGGAAACAGAGCCGAGAGAACGAAAGAGATGGGCAGATGAAGACGAACTAAGGAAAGAGAGCCCAGAGAGGATACCGCTCGGCGGAATCGAGCGGAATCAAAGGACCCCTTCTCTCTCGCTGTTGCGGGATAACGCGAAAATACCTTTTCCCCCCACAGCGGTACCGCTGAAACCAGCGCGTGCGGTACGACGCGGTACGCTCCAATCTCAGCCGTCCGATGATACAAGATCGATGGTCAAGATTTGGTACCTCACATCCTCAAGGACAGTAAAAAATCTCCATTTGTAATCGTTTCGACTCCTAATTTATAATATGCAATAAAGTTTTGTTTTGTTTTGTTTTGTTTAAGAGGAATTTCACCATCCTTGAGGAGGTACCACTAGGTACCAAGTATATACCATTCAAATCTAACCGTCCATTTTAAAAGGGTAGGATATTGGAATGTGTAATTGCCAGTTCCTACTCGCAACACCATCGTCTCAAATCATTCTCTTTGCGTTGCGCCGCAGTGTGCCCATGCTCTGGCACTGCGCCGTATGCCTCGTGAGGCCGTGCTCCTGTGCCGCCCGTCAAAGGAGGGTAAATTGAACTGTTTTGATAGTTAGAGAGTGTTGGTGTTAACGACCGAATTTGGTAATTTAAGTATCGGAGATGGATATAAAACCGAAGCGGAATCGAAGATAGAGACCGTTCCGGAAACAGAGGAAGAATCGGCTAAAGTCCGAATCGGCTGCAACTAGAATCGGTAGAGTTCTAGTCGGACAAGGTTAGCCGATTGAGCCGATTCCGACAATACGATTCGGTACACGTTATCGGGTTGAATTAGGGTGCTTCATATGGATTGCCACGCACGGATTGAGTACTGAAAAGGCAATTGTATCTATTAATTATGATATTTTATGTAAATTCCTTATACATAAGTTTGGCAAAAGTCTGCCGCAAAGATTTATGGTATCTTAGAGTTTGTTAGAGATAAGAGTCGTGTCCGACAAGGACATATTTTGTATCTCGGGTATAAATATGACCCGAACCCATGTAATCAAATAATAGACGTTCAATACAATCTCGGCGCATCGCCACCCTTTTACTTCGTTTACTTTCGACGAGTTCTTGCTTTCGGGTTGAGCTGCATCGGTTTCGATCTTCAGCTAGAGGTAAAACTTGTTATGGCGGCTTGTGTTCTCGGGATTAGTGCTTCCATCTTTATGATACTCTAATCTTGTTTATGTAATTCGTCTAGTTATCATATATCTTATATAATCTTTGATAATATTGCTATTTAACCTTCGATCAACTAACATCTATCATTGGAAGGCAGCCGATTAGGTTAAATAGCAATGTTGGCTTAGATTATATAGGATATCTACCACCCTATGAAACATCCAACGGCTTGATTGTCTAGATATGGTCCTTCTTTTCATACTTATAACTGCATCAGTTGAGTTTGACCTTATAAGTCGTGATGAGAATCTCAATCTCTAGCCTGTTTTTGGTAGTCGATTAGGGTAGTATCGGGGTTTCAGCCGATCTTATCTGATTTAACTACTTTATGTCTTATATGCTTTATTGACATGTTAAATCCGCCCTTTATGTTAAGATCTTGTTGCATTTCGGTATATTAAGCTTCCTGTCTGATATATTCTGCCTGCTTTAATATCTTAATATAGAGTGGTATCAGAGTATTAACCGATACATGCTAGATCTATCTAATCGGCTATGTTATGAACGGTTATAATCTTTATGTTAATGTATATTTTGACCTAAGTAATTTATACTGTCTCGGCATGACGACCGATCTATCCCAATCACTTGATTTAAATATACATCGACAGAAGGATTATATATCGTTAATACCTACAGCCGATCGAATAGATTTAGTTCTTTTTCAGTTATTCATGATTGCCGATCGATTCAAATATGACATCGGCTCAAATATAAATGATACGTCATCAGCGACTGGCCGATCGGCTATCGTTTATGGATTTAATTGTTATTTTCTGTCTTTGTTTCTTGTTGATTGCATGATCAAATTAACTGGCACGCTTACGAACCTAAAGGCAAGATTTTTGGACCTACACTGAAGTTAAGCAGATCTTTCAGGCCTCGTGTTTTTCGCATCAACAGTTGGATACCCGGTTTAAGAGTTTGGGATGAGTTTTAAACCTAGACAAGACTTGAAGGGTGTAAAATGGACTCATCCCTATTTTTTTATTACAATATATGTAGAAATATTAATAAACATATAATTTTATTTATGTTTTTTTAGACTAAAACAAATATAGTTCTCCTTATATCTAACACATACTTTAGATCTTGATATTCATAGTCCAAGTTTTTAAAACTTTGACAATAGTCTTTGTTCAAATGAAGTATTATCAACCCCTCTGGAAGTACAAACTTATCTATACTCTTTCTTCCTACCTTCTACTCATTTGTTTTCACTGAGTACGCTTCCCGAATGGCTAGATGTACCACACATTTTTTCACAAAAAAAATATATAGCAAAATTAATTTAAAAATTTATATTAATTCCTTTCTATGTTTTTCTTTAAGCTAAGACTTAATTATTCATGCGCTAATGAGCCACCCTATTTTACGTGTGCGGGAAAGAAGCTTCCAGCCCCTACCACAGAACACACAATCTAATACTCGTACTTTTCATAATGGTTTACTAGCCTATGATATTGCGCATTCGCGTGACTCTATGCCTCATGTTACATGGTACACATGAGTGGCAATCTGTTTTTATGGGTTTCTCATCGCTCGAAAAAAAATGGGTCAGGATGACTAATATTATGCTCATACAATAGATAGCTTAATATTTATTACAAATTTTATATCTGCGTGAGTCATTGTTTTATAGGTTTTCACGGCTGCATGACCCCTTATTTCGTATAGGCGCGCACTATTTATAGCCTATGCTGAAATATTTTGTAGGTTTTTAAGGAATGAATTTGATTTCATTTTAAATTCATGTGAAAAACGTTAAACCTATATTCGGACGATATGATTGTGCATGTTATTGTAGCAATTTTTGCCTCAAATATGTTAACAATTAATTGTTAGAAACAAAATTAATCGTATGAACGCACATTTGTATATGTTCTTAAATAGCCGAATCTTGACATGTGAATATGTGATTAGGATGAGGGTTTATTTGTAAAATAATTTATTTTATTATAGGAGCATTTCGTAAATTATTTGCATCATATGCCTATTCTCTAGCTTTTTTTCCCTTTACTCTTTCTTTCCTCTTCTAGTAGCTTTATCACCGGAAGCCTCTTTAATTATTATTTTTATCATCCATCTAATCCAACGGTCCAGATTTATTTATTCTCAATTCATTAAATGATGTCACTCATCCTCAATTCATTTTGAGTTCCACTTTTCATTAGTTAAGATATCGATAGATTTAGTGTTGGCATCTTCTTGCTTGATGCAACAATACTACTATTACTTAAGTAATCATGCACGTGCAACACACGTAATAACCGCTATGATTTAAACCAAGCATATTGCACATGTAATGCAAGTTTTCCATCATATTGTATGTAATTCAGAAACCATAATAGAAAAAGGTAAATCATTCACCGATACTATATTGAAATGTAATGTACCAACAATACACATAAGTCTCTATATACAAATACATACGACATACAAAAGGATTAGGATCAATGGTCTCCGATCTAGCACTTTACACATTGTTGATGCAAACAAACATACACTGGCCTGAGAGATTTGCTTAACTCTAGTGCAAAAACTTGCCTTAGGGTCTAGGGCGTGCCAATTGGTTTGATCCTACAACCAACAAGAAACGAGATAAACAGTTAAATTTATAAACGATAGCCAATCGGCTGGAGGGCCGATGACATATCGTCTTTAACCTAGCCGATGCAACCTGGTTTGAATCGGCTATAAGATGTAGCAATAAAATTAAGACCCTAAATTCGTGTCATCGGCTGTAAAGATGAACGTTACATAATCTATGAATCGTCATTACTTCAAATAACAGTGATTGGGATAAATCAAACTTAATCGAGACAGTATAAATCACTTGTATCCGAAGTTCTATGAAATAAAGATTATACAAGTTCATGTCATAGCTGATGAACAAATTTAAGCATGTATCGGCTATAGCTCCGATACAACCTTATACTGGAATATTTTTTTTGAACAAATATGTATCTAATGT